GCAGCGGGCGAGGTCATTTCGACGATCACGCCGTGACCACGGAATCATACCACCGATCGCGCCGTGACCGCGAGTCTTACCGACGATCATGCCTTGACCGTGGAGTCATAATGACTATCATGCCATGACTGCGGAGTCATACCGACGATCATGCCGTGACCGCAGAGTCAAAACGTCGATCGCGCTGTGACCGCGGAGTCATACCGACGATCGCGCCATGACCGCAAGTCACAAGTTTCTATACCTGTAAAATTTTACCCATTTTTTTGTTTTTATAGATCAGTGCCAAATGGTAAAAATTGATTTTGTTTGTCTTTTTAAGTAACTGCTATACTCAAGACTTGCTTTTTATGCTCAGGAAAAAATCCCGTCCCGTCCCGAAAATCGGAAGGAAATAAATTTCCCGTCCCGTCCCGTCCCGAACTAAAAATTCAATCCCGTCCATCCCTAGATATTATGGAAAACATTTTTATACTGAACAAATTATTAATACATCTTTTTAACAATTACATCAAACCAAACCATAACATAAAAAAGGTAAACAAGACAATTAATATTTGATCAGGTGATGATGTAAAGACAACATGAGACTTCTCTAACAGAAAAGGCATTTCTTCAGATTTCGGTATGCCCTGATGATAGAGACTGGTTAAGATTTCCATGGTGGGGAGGATATTGGGAGCAGTCAATACATGTGTTAAAGGACCTTCTTAAAAAAAACTTAGGTCGAACATCACTGTGTTACAAAGAACTGATGACGTTAGTATGTGAATGTGAGTGTATTAGGAACAGCCGTCCCTTGACTTATGTCAGTGACAACCCAAATGAACTTACTCCCCTCAGCCCTTCCTTATTCCTTTCAAGTCTTCCGAGGACTAAAATGACTGACCTTGATGAGCTTGAAAATAAACGTGTTCAGAAAAGACTACATTTTATACAAAAGCTTCGAAACGGACTTCAGATACGTTTCCATAAAGAATATCTGGGATTTTTGCGAACCACAAAGAAACATCAACAACATAAAACATTATCAGTAGGTGATGTAGTTTTGGTAGGAAATTAAAAGAAAAGATTGGAATGGATCCTGGCACGAGTAACTGAGTTGATTCCTGGACGTGATGGAATTGTTCGTCTTGTCAAGTTAAGAACGGCGAAAGGTGAAATTTTGCGACCTGTACAGAGGTTATATCCCTTAGAAATTAAATCTCAAGACAACTTTAATGGGAACTTCAAACCTGAGATGACACCATCAAATACTACAATTGACACTGATGGATTAACAACTGTAAACCAGGAAGAAACTCTCTTGTTGCAACAAGATCCAACAACGGACCACGTAAAAACTCGAAGTGGTCGAGAGATAAAACCACGGGAAATTCTGGACATGTAAATGGTTTTATACGAATTGTTGTATAGTAGAATAATTGTATAGTATTATTTTACCAAGTTATTGTTAGTTCTTTTTTTATGTGTATTAAGTGAAGTGTGAAGAACTTTTATTTTGATTAAGCAGACAGTTAAGGACTCTATCACGCTCAGGTCATTGTGACCCATGTGATATTTTTATTTTTTTGTATTTATTGCTGCAAAACAGTTTGTAATAAATAAAGAATTTTCTCTCTCTCTCTCTCTCTCTCTCTCTCTCTCTCTCTGTTGTACTGTTCAAGTAATTGACATTTTCTGATTTTCTGAATTAAGTGTTTGTAAATTGCCATCACTCCTCAATTTACAAAGGTGGGGAGTGTGTTAAGAATACAATTTAAAAGACTTTGGTTTAATTAACTACTGTACTGTATGGAACTAACATATGATCATATGTTTGATTTATTTTATTCTGATTTTTAAACAGAGCAGTAGTGATGTTATGAATTTTTAAGAATATAAAGTTTATTTTAGAAGTGAAAAAAACAGGTTTTTATTTAGTTATTTGTTAGAACCTGAAATCAGGGAATATTTAATATTTTTAAAGGAATTTTCCCAAAGTTGTAAAAATAGGCCTACTACGTTTTTGTTTGATATTTTTAGTCCATCAGAGACAAGTGACTTATATAGGTCCTATAAAATGTCATGAGTGAAGAGGATAGCTCTAGTACCCATACCAAAGAAATCAATTTTAAAATACCTTATTGCATATTGATGTTTTTTAAATTCAGATACATTTAGTTTAGGGGTCTGCGGTACAGAAAATTTAAGGTCGGTACGGTTCAGTACGGTACAATATTTTGTACCTCGGTTCTCGGTACAAAATCGGTACGGTACGCGGCTACCCGTATTTTTGCGGTTTTCTTCTCAGAACTGTATCTAAACCATTATTTTTAACTTTAATACATAGACATTACTATGAAAATGGATAGTATCCTACATTCATGGTTTTCTAACAACAATTACTGTACCACATATTATTAAAACAAAACCTTTTACTACTACGAGGATTGTGTCAAGAAAAATCACAGTTGAGATAAAGGCTTTACCTATTTTACTCTGAGATACTTTGAATAGCCATGATAAAGTAGTTTAAAAATAGGATAAGAGTTTTTATGAATAAACATGTTTGAAACATTTATTGACAAGATAATTTCACAAAACTGGTAAATTATTTCCAACCAACACAATGTCTAGTTGTTGTTTTTTTTTTAATTTTAAAAACATATAAAAGCATTCAGTAGAAGACAGTGTGGTTTTGCCAGCTGTTCACATCAGATGACAATGAAAAACTGGAGGTTATGATGAATTAATGGCAAAGACCATTTTTTTTATCAGCTTCAAAACTAGTTAAGTTATAAGATGGATACAATTCTTGCAAAGTTTTTTTCTGAAACTAAAATTTGGATTATCACAGAGTAAGATTTGATGTTGGGCAATTAGACTTTATAACTGTGTAAAAGGTGTGTATCCCTGAATTTATAAATTGCATTCTACACTTATTCACTGCCAAACATAATTCAGTAGAACCTTGATGAACCGAGAATTACACTAGCCTACATAACTTCATTACCCCAAGTAAAATACCAAGATAATTTTTATAATTGTATTTTAATCATATAATCTTAGTTTGTTAAAAATGGATTGTATGTTCAACAATAATTGCAGTCCATTATTGTTAAGCAGTATGGTCCCAAATTATTGTTTTTGATTTTGAAACATCACAGTTCATTTGACAAAATTATAGTTGAAGCAGCTCAATGTCAAGTCAAAGTCACGCTTGTGCAATAGTTTGTTTACATGCTTTCTCCAGACCACGGGGGAGGGGAGGGTCTGATAAGCCGTCTATTGTTCACCCCCAAGAAGGTCCGACCCTCATTAGTGCCGCTCGGCTGCACTTAGTGGGGAACCCAATACTGTACCACAAATCAATCTTTTAAATGAATACAAATATTTGGTAATAATTGTTTTATTAATATTCACCTTGAAATTTCTATAAATTTGGTGTAAAATTTGACAAAAATCTGCCATTTGGACCGATTATTAATACAATACCAAATACCAATAAAGTAGTACATTCATTGGTAATTAAATAATAGGTAAAAATTTACCGATTTTCGTCAAGTTTTACCCCCTGCTGTGCGCTATGTCACAAAAGCTGATAACGACATGGGTGATTAGTAACCATGGCAACTTGTTGAATGCGTGATGAAGGGAAACCCAAGAAATAGAAGAACAAAGAGAAAGAATAACGACGTTGTTATCTTTATACCCTTTTTACAATTTCCGTTATTGTTATCTTTATGTAAGATTTTATGATTTTGTTTTATAGGTTTATAAAATAATTCTTTTTAACTACGGGAATATCAATTTATAATTTATCAACGTGCTTCTCTTCTGAAACAGCAATACCGGATGCATAATGAAGGTCAATGGCCTAAAATATCACGATTGTGCAATATTGTATTTTGATGTTGAAATTAAAATCACGACAAAAGTTTGTATATATCCATGGTCGTCAATAGACACATAAAATATCCATAACAAATATTTTAATTTATAAAATAAGATTGTAGATTAGTTACAAGTTTAATATGTAGCCATAAACAGTTTTATGGCAGTAGGCAATGGCCAGCGGCAAATTCAATATTCACGAAAATACTGATTAAGTTAGAGATAACATTTAACAGTCATCATAAAACTATTATTTTTATGATAAAACAGAATTGGGGAAAGTCGTAAAGAAATAAAAGTGATAAAACTCAACAGTTCTTGGAAGTACTTCAATACAACAATTATTGTCGTGATAAAATGTTAATGGATTTGGGACTGCTAATGGGTTTTTTATTGCATCATCACGCTAGTAATAAATTATGAAGATCGTAAACAAACATCTGATAAGACTTTTATGTGCTTGGAACCAACTGCCGTTGACTACGATAGTAAACTGAAAGTAATTTATTATTATAATAGGCTGTACCGAACCGAATTTGTACCGTGTAAAATGCTGTACCGAACCGATGACGGTAATTAAGCTTGTACCGTACCGACTTTTTCGGTGCACCGCAGACCCCTAATTTAGTTATATTAAGTCATCCTTATATATAATATCTTTTTTATTAGATGAATTTCTAAAAAAAAATTCTGTTTCTTTATTGAACTGAAATTATTCTAAAAGTGATTAGTTACCTATGTTGATTATCATGTTAGTGAGGAGGAAGAAAAAGTAAGTAACTTACAAATAAATTTAATGCTGCAGCCAACAAGTAGGCTAGGCAAAATTTTTTTATAAGGCCTAATAAGTTCCTAATAATTAGGAAGTAACCATCTTAACTTAGAAAATTTGGTGTAGAAACTGGGTACCTATTTAGGCCTAGGCCTACTTTATGTGCAACTACTCGACTCGACTCGAGTTTTTACTCATATACTCGAGTCGAATTGAACAATCACTACTCGCCCACCCCTACAACCTTCTCCTAAGACCATACCCCTAAAACACAACTGGCCTGCGGGTGATAAAGACTGAATTGAAACTGAGACTATATGAGAATTAGTATTGGAACATATACAGTACTCACCCTACATATTTATAACCAGCATATGCAATGAGATCAAAAGTCTTGAGTTTGGTCTGTATGTTGGTGATGTAGAGGGTGACTAGAGCTACCAAAATCTCCACCACAGACCAGGCCAAGGCAGAGCTAGCCAAGACACCTAACACCTCGGGGGCAAATCTGTTCTGGGTCCCTAGTGCCAGGCCAGCTACCAGCACGTAACTGTAATATAACAAAATTATTAATAAATTATCTAGTGTGTACGGGGTGACTAAAGCTACCAAGATCTCCACCACAGACCAGGCCAAGGCAGAGCTAGCCAAAACACCTAACACCTCAGGGGCAAATCTGTTATGGGTCCAGGGTGTCTACTACATTCTGGATAAAAATTCATGGACAATTCCCGTACAATTAAGGACACTTTGGCATAACCTTTGTTGGTGCGATTATAGAATATATTTTCCTGATTTGTCAAACAGTATTAATCTTGTTCTTCACTGTAGTTGTACCAGAAAGAAAAGTAAGTAACAATATAATTTACAACACTAGAATTTATGAACTGGAGACACCCTATTATCTGAAGTACACACACTACACAATCTCACCTATTATAACACCTACAATAACATTACCCTGACGCCTGTCAAATCTGAATGATTTTGATTAAAAGTTTCTCTCTCTCTCTCTAGCATTGAATTTTAAGAAAATCATGGATCAAATACAGAAGGAGAAAATAAGACGTAAGGAGGAAGAGGAGGCTAGGAAACAAGAAGCCAGAAAGGCTAATGATTGTTCGGGGACCAGCAGTATGGCGGAGTCGGAGTCCGAGGCGGAGAAGCTAAGAAGTAAGAGAATTAGAAGTCCGGAGGAAAAGGAGAAAGAGAAAAAGCGGAAAGCCAGGAAGACTGAGGATTTGGAATCGGGTGAGGAAATTGAGGAGGATGATGAGGACCCATTAGTAGGCTTGAGCTTGGTATTGGAGAAGATGAAGGGATGGTTCAAGCAGCCAACCATCATAAAAATTGTGACAAAGCCTCAGAAGGAGAAGTTCGGGAGGTACCTAAACAAGTTCCAGGAAGAGCTGATAAGGGCTAGAGAGGATAGAGTCAGGATGGAGACAAGGTTGGAGGAACGAAGAGAGTTTTTGAAGATCGTGAGCTCAACTGTGCGGCATGAAATGGAAAATCTGGTCCGATCAGGCACATGTGGAGTGAGCTACTCTGCAGCTCTAAAGAAAGATTCCCCAATCGTTCCCAGAGGTCCGTGCTTCCACCGCCTAAGATTGTAACAGTGAAGAGTGACAATCAGGAGAGCGCCGAAGTTCGAAGCACCCTCAAGAGGTTAGTGAAACCGCAGGAAATAGGATTAAAGGTTAGAAGGATAGTTAACATCCGGAACGGAGTCATCGTGGAAGCAGAGAACGAAGAAGGAATAGACAATCTGATGAAAGAGAAATCTCTGGCGGATGCAGGATTAAAAGTTGAGAAGCCGACAAAGAAGAGACCCGTCATAATGATTTATGACATGAACGCTGAGCTGGCAGAAAACGAGGTTAAGGAAGAAGTCTTCAACAGAAATATGCAAGGAAGTGAAATTGAGCAGAAGACGGTACAATGACGGAGACAGTGCAAGAGACCCTGGAGAGAATGATACAAGGATTGCTGCCAGAGGATAGGGAAGAAGATGATACAGAGGAACAAGCAAGAATCAGAAGTAGGATGGCTGATGAAAGCACAGGAACAGATGAGGAAGATTTCACGGAAGGAGAGCTAAATGCATGCATTGCACTGCTGAAGGATAGTTTCCTATCCTATTGCTTTCGCCCCGGGAGTGGATGGAATAAAGAACAAAGTAGTTAAGAGAATGTTTGGAAGGATCAAGGGGACGTTGTTGAACCTTTACAACAAGATGTTGAGAGATGGCAGGTATTCTGATGTGTGGAAAAAAGGAATCGTCAAAGTTTTTCTAAAGAGTGAGGAAAAGGACCCAAATAAGGTTAAATCGTACAGGCCAGTTACCCTCTTACCTGTCTTAGGAAAGTTAGGCGAAAGATTATTAATAGTGAAAAGGATGAAAGAATGGATGGATAAATAGGGCAAATCCTCTACAATATGGATTCATGGAAAGTGTTGGAACGGTAGACACACTTCTGGATATGAGAAGAGAAGTTGAAGAGGCGGAAGAAAAATATGCAGTAGGATTGTTCCTTGACATCTCTGGAGCTTTTGACTCCGCCTGGTGGCCAGAGAGTGCTGAGAAGGTGGCGATGTATGAACAACATCTACTGATTGGTAAGGGACTACTTCCGAGGCAGAACCGTGACACTAAGAGCTGGCAACGGAGAGGTGAACAAGAACATCACTAAAGAATGCCCCCAAGGATCTGTGGTGGGCCCTCTGTTGTGGAACATCCTGTTTGATGGGTTTTTGCAGCTGCCTTTCGAGGAAGGTATCTCCGCGAGAGCCTATGCGGATGACGGACTGCTTTTGGTGAAGTCCAACACAAGCCCTGACCTCATAAGGAAGGCATCGAGAGCCTTGGAACTGGTCACTAGGTGGGGGGAAGACAGAAAGATGACTTTTTCGAGGGAAAAGACAGTGATGGTGCTCCTGAAAGGAAGATTAGTCGAAAGATTCATCCGTGTCAACATGGGAGACGTGACAATCCGGTGTTCAAATGAGACGAAGTATTTAGGAGTCGTAGTAAGAAGTGGATTGAAATTTGCAGGACATTATGAGCATGTAATCGACAAGACTATGAAGGCATTCGGAAAGTTAAAAGGACTGGCCAAGGCAAACAACGGCATGAGATGCAAGAACTTGAGATGATTGTACATCGGTGCGCTTGAACCAATGATGCTGCACGGCTGTGAGATGTGGGGCCAACGAATGAGGGGACGAGGTGAGAAGTCTAAGTTGATGAGTCTGCAAAGAAAACTGTTGTTGGGTGTGATTAAGGGCTGCAGCACGATATCCCACGAAGCTGTCCGAGTGATTGCCGGGGTCATCCCGCTTGACTTGATGATTGAAGAAAGGATTAAGAGAAGAAGGGACAAAGAAGAAGGTATCAACATCAAGGATAGCATGAGGATCCTAAGAGAAGAAACACTCGTTGACTGGCAGAGACGGTGGGAGTCTAGCACAAAAGGAAGGGAAATCTTTGCGTTCGTTCCGGATGTGAGGTTCAGAAAGAAAGTCCATTGAGAAACCGATCACTACACGACACAGTTTGTCAGCGGAAACGGCAACTTCAAGGCAAAGCTGAAAAGTTTCAACCTCGTCGATGATGATCGTTGCACTCATTGCGGAGAGCTGGAGACATCGCAGCACGTACTGATGGAGTGCCCATTCTATGAAGAAGAAAGAAGCGACTTGAGGGAATTCCTCCAACAAAAGACATGGGATTGGGAGAAGATCAACTTCTTGAGAACCAAAGAATCTGCGCTGGAGTTTGCCAGAATGTGCCGAAGGACAGGAAAGAAAAAGCATGAATTTGAAAATGCAGGAAGACAGGCTGGAATTTGAAATGGAAAAAACAAAAGTTAGGAAAGATTAAATAAATTAAAGAAGATTGAAAAACAAAATCCGATGATCCTAGTACAGAGGGAACTAGGTGAGGGGAGAGGTGTTGGTTAGGCACAGAATTAGCCTGAAAGGACAAAGAATGAAGCCGACAGCTGGAAGAGGATCCGAAGATTTTTCAGGAAAGCGGCCTGGTGAATAAGTCTCTGACTTAAACCAGGGGTGGTGGTGGGACCGTTGGGCTTCGGCCAAACACCTCTCTCTCTCTCTCCCCCCCTAGACAAGAGTTAAATTTCAAAATAGGAATTTATTGAAATGGGAAAAAACATTTACTTTGGGTAAAGCTTTATAGTGTAACAGAGAAACCCAATCATCGTCTACTGTGATATCGACAAAATCCTGAATGTCTCCATCTGACACGGAAACATTATAAAATCATATCCGATCTAGGTGGATAAGTTTGGCATGATTCGCTCTGGCACAACAACGTTCTCGACTACTTATTTAAAAAACTCTTCAACACATATATTGTACCTCGGTTCTCGGTACAAAATCGGTATGGTAAGCGGCTACCAGTAAGCACAGAGTAAGATTATTGTCTTTTCATTTGCAAAGTTAACACCCACACATATCAATCATTAGTTTATCCTGGGCTCAATAACAATTTCTTAGTATATTTTACAGCTTTTTCAAAGAATCAAAATACCCAGGCCTAGACCTAATTATTTAGGAGGGCCTATATAAACTGAGTAACAAACAATTAGGTTATAATAGCAGCAAAGTTACTATAATCATTCTAGTCCATAAGATTTAGGTTGCTTAGCATACAACACAATAAATAAATACAGTAGAACCTCGATAACAAGACTCTCATGTGGATTATTAAAACCAGACTTGTTATCAAGGTCGACTTCTTATCGAGGTTCGCAATAACATGTGATTAGGTCTAAAATAAAATTCAAGGGTTTAGAAAATTACACTTGTTAAAAAGGGTGACTTGTTATCGAGGGTCTTGTTATCAAGGTTTCACTGTATGGGAAACAAAAAACATTGAAACCTGAACAGACAACAATATAAGACAAAGATACAGAAAATGCAATGACATGATTTGAGACCAAGTAGGCCTGCGTAATGATAAAAAATTAATGAAAACAACAATGCTTGTGGTTTTGTCACTTGAAAGAAATATAACGTACAAAATGACAGTAAATTAGTTACAAGTTTAATATGAAACCATAAACAGTTTTATGGCCAGCGGCAAATTGAATGTTCAAGATTGAAGTGAGTAAGAAGTAAAATTTAACTATTACATATATCCATGATAAAATAGGTTTGTGATCTCATAATTACCCTAGTAATAAATAATGGAAGCTGTGAAGGAATAAGTGATAAAACTTTCATGAGCTAAGCCAGGAGTTCTGGAAGTACTTGACTTGACACTTGATTGTCGTGATAAAATATTAATGGGTTTGAGACTTCTAACGGGGTTTTTTTTTATTGCATAATTACTCTAGTAATAAATTATGAAAATGTAAACAAACATCTGATAAACCTTTTATATGCTCCCAGCCAACTAGAGATGATAAAATTATTGCCCATTAAAAATTTAAGGACATAGTCTGGCATTTAAGGACAATGCCCGTACAAATGATTATTAATTATCTAGTGTGTATGTTGGTGATGTAGAGGGTGACTAAAGTTACCAAGGTTCTTATAAATCTAAACAAAATAGTGAAAACCCCCATTTCTGTAAAAATTACGGTTCAAAAGGTAATGCAACTTTTGTGATTCTACCTATTATAGTTAGTTACTCTCATTGCTTATCCATGATAAAGGTTGTTGACAAGCTAATGGGAGAAAGTATGTGTCAGATTGCTGATACCGTTAATTTTAATGTAACTTACGTAACATATGCCATTGTTGGTATATAGAGATCTGGCGCGTTGACTTCGTAGCGAGGTTGGACTGGCTCATTCTGCTCATACTTCACTGACCAGTCCTGGAAAATGATGAAAGTCAAATTACAAATCATGAGATTGGTTAGTGAATAAATTATAATTATTGTGTAGAAAATAAACAATAAACAAAATAGTAATATAAACATTAAAAAGATTTAACCTTTCCCGTACAAGCGAAATCGTGACATAGAACGGGAAAAAGTCATAGGAAAAACATAAACAATTATTTAACGAACACATGTTTTAAAACTATACATCAACTCTCCCCCCTTAGTTTAAGGGAAGTATTTGGTCTGAGTGACGAGTCCAAGTGAGTCCAGTGTCTGTCTTGACTTTAAACATAACATTTCCTGTTCTTGAAATCCCTTCCTTCCACTTTTCTTTTGAAGAATAATTTCCCACCAGTACTCTCTGCCCCACCTGAAAATTTCTTTTCAGCTTGTATAAAAGCCATCACATAAGTTTTGTTCTTATATCTCTTCCAAACATTAACACATAAGCGGAGAGTCCTGTAGAGTTTGGAGCTTTGCGTAACTGAGTTACAAGAAGATCTATTTTATGCTGCAAGTCTCCCTTTTCTTCGCTCATGGCAGCCAACGATTTCTTAACAGTTTGGACGAATCGTTCTGCTTGGCCATTGCTTGCAGGGTGAAAAGGTGCACAAGTCCTATGGCAAATTCTATTATTGCTTAAAAACTTTTGAAAAAGTGCACTTGTAAATTTGGAGCCGTTGTCTGTTACTATCATTACTGGCAGTCCAAAAGTTGTGAATAAGTTACTTAAATTTCGAATGCACCAATCTGAAGAAGTGTTTTTTGTATGTATAACCTCCAACCATTTTTTATGGGCGTCAATAATTATGAAAAAATAATTTCCATTTACTGGTCCACAAAAATCCAAATGTAAGCGATGCCACGGAGCTGTAGGTTCTTCCCAAGGGTTGTGGTTTAATTTAGTCGGTTCATTTCTTTTCTGTTTGAATTGGTCACAGTTATTAACCAAGTTCTCTACATCAGTATCCAAGTTTTTCCAATATACATAACTTCGTGCCATAGCCTTCATTTTCGACATGCCTAAATGCCCGATGTGTAGTTCCTTGAGAACTTCTTTCTGCAATGCGTAAGGTATTACAATTCGACAACCTTTATGTAAACTTAAGTCATTATTCCGGAAACCAATCTTTTCCAGATTTTCTCCATTTTCTAGTGCTGTAACTATTGTAGCTAGTGCAGGGTCTTTCTTTGTATGCTCTGCAAGTGTACATTGTGTTAGAGGAAGAACTGCTATTTGATTCATTTGGAACTTGGAATATAAGTCTTCGTCATCTTGAGTTTGTTCAACTGCGAAACGAGACAAGAAATCTGGGTTACAGTGGTCTGCAGTTCTTCAATACTCAATTGTGTAATCAAACCCAGCAAGGAAAAGTGAATAATCGAGTAGCTGACATTGCCCGTAAGCATTTTGAAGGATGGAATATGGAAACAAGAGGTTTGTGGTCCGTCTGAAGAACCAACTTTCGCCCATAGCAATAAGCAAAGAATTTCTTCACTCCCCAGTAAATTGCTGTAGCTTCTTTGTCTTTTTGACTATACTGTTTTTCACTTTTTGACAAAGATCGTGAAGCAAAAGCTATGGGTTGTTCCGACCCATCAGGAAACTTATGGGAGATTACTGTTCCCAATCCATAAGGAGATGCGTCAGTTGAGAGTATTAGAGGAAGTTTTGGATTGTAGTGTGCTAGAGTGTTGTCATTAGCTATGTATGTGCCTTTTAACATTGATAAAGATGTTTCACATTCTTGTGACCATTCAAATACCTTTCTGTAGCAACTTATTCAATGGATATAGTTTTTCGGTCAGTCTTGGTATAAATTTGTTGTAGTAATTGGCCATGCCAATGAAAGATCGTAGTTGACTCACATTTCTAGGTTTTTCTGCCTCTATAATTGCTTTAACCTTTTCTGAGATTTTCTTCAGCCCATTCTCATCGATCGTATGTCCCAATTATGTTATTCTTTGTTGAAAGAATCTACATTTGTCAAAATTTAATTTCAAGTTATGCGCTCTAAGTTTTTCTAGGACAGTTCTTAATCTCTCTAGTGTACTCTTGTAATCTGTACCTTGAATGATTATATCATCGAAAAAACATTTAACTCCATCAGTTCCTTGCAGTACCTTATCCACAAATCTTTGCCACAGTGGTGGTGCTACTTTCACTCCAAACATCAACCTGTTTACTTTATACAAACCTTTATGAGTGCTTATAGTTTGTAGCATAGCACTTTCAGAGTCCACTGGCATGTGTAAGTAAGCGTTACTAACATCGAATGTACAGAAAAATTTACCTCCATTCATCTCTGCAAAGATGTCCTCAATTCTTTGTACAGTAGACCCCCTCTTAACCGACCTCGTATTAACCGATAATCGGATTATCCGCCTTTGATCGTAAAATAATACAGTTTGTTTTAACCGACCTTGCTTTAAGAGCAGCTCGGTTTAACCGCCGCTTTCTAGGAATCTCGGCATTTCCGCTCCCACGCTGGGCGATGAGAACTGAACCATACGCTTATCTCCACAGGATATGACTAACAATAAGTTATCTTGTGAAGATCACAAAAAATATAGCATAGCCTATTGTCAGTTTGTCATCGTTCGTAGCTCAAGCACATCTGATCTGTTTGTTATCTGTGCGGCAAATTTATAACATCATAAAGTGCTTTACGATTTTGAGAACTGATTATCTTATCGCTGGAGTAAACAAACAACGCAACTTGTAGGGAGGGCAGGGAAGGGGTGTTAACAACTCCAAGGTCAAGATAGTTTTTGTGCCTCGAGCCTCCAGTGAGAGGCTATAAATAAACATTCTGTCTTGTAACAAAATGGTCGCTTGTATCTTTAATGACGACAAAAGGTTCTTTACTGTATTACGATGTATTTGGAAAGCATTAATTAATACATTACAGTAGTAAAAGTTATTGAAATAGGAATTTTATTGACTCTTGCCTAGTATTATAATATATTCACTGAAAGTAAGCCTATTTGACTTAACCGTGTTTTGTGTTTATTTGTGGCATTTCTATCAATATGAAAAAGGAGATAAGAGTAGTTTATTTTATAAATAATGCAAGTATGACTTCAAAATAATGATTATATAATTCCAAATGAACAGCACTTTATTATGTTATGATTTTAGGGGTTGCCCGTTTTATCCGACCTTTTGAATCATCCGACCGAGGTCCGGTCCCATTAGGGTCGGTTAAGAGGGGGTCTACTGTATTGGATATTTCTCATCACGGATAACTTTATTCAATGTAGTCTTGTAATCTGCACATATTCGTACCGAACCATCAGGTTTTACTCCTGGCACAATTGGCGTGCCCCATTCAGAATTTTTGACCTTTGTAATAATACCAGCTTGTTCCAGTCGATCGAGTTCTTCTTCCACCTTTTGTTTAATAGCATAGGGCACTTGCCTCGGCTTCACAAATATCGGACCACAGCCTTCTTTTACATTCAGGTGTCCTTTTTCATTTGGAATGCAACCAATTTCCTTACTGAATATATCCAAATAACTGTCAAGAACCTGTGTCAACTCAGATGAGTTTCGATCCAACATTCTAATATCAATATCACAAATTTCTAAATTAACTTCTCTTATCCAGTCTCTACCAAATATTGGTTCAACATCTTGGTCGATAACATATAGTTTTCCAAAATATATCTTTTCTTTGTACTGGAACCTAACATATACTACTCCCTTAGTTTGTATGATTTCACCTGTATATGTGCGAAGCTGTACATGTGATTTGAGCATTCTCTTATAAAAATATCTAATCTCTTATAGTCCTGAAATGAGATTGAAGATAGCGCTGCTCCTGTATCAAGTTCCATAGATAATGGTTTTCCTTCAATTTCTATTTTCATAATGAACTTATCGCTATTATTTACTTGAAGTTTATAAGAATCATAGGTAGTATAATCTGTTTTTCATTGTCTCTGACGTCTAGTTGGTCGATTTGTTGTTTTCTTGGTCCTCCCATACATATTTTTGCAATATGCCCTACTTTGTTACATTTATTGCAAAATTAATTTCTAAACTTGCATGTATTTGCTCTAGATGGTATTTATCTCCACACCGATAACACCGTCCTTGTAGACCTGAAAACTTTGAACGGGAAGGAGGATATTGGTCTTTGTTTGTTGCCTGTACAGTGTTCTTGCTCCCAGAGTATTTGTCCCATTTTCTTGTCTCTACAACCTTGAGCACTGGAAATTCTGATGGTGCTGTGTGAGCAGTCATCATGTTGCTTTCAGTTCTAGAAGCTTCCAGTGATGTTGCAAGTTCAAGTGCTTCCTTAAAAGTAGTTACAATTTTCCTCTGTAAAAGTTGTCCTTTAATATCATGGTCGTGAAGTCCTCTTAGCTACCAATTGCATGCGTAATAATATATCAGTTACTGACTATTCACAATCACAGTTAAACTTACAATCTTTGGACAGTTTCTTTAATTCCATAGCAAATTCAATGATTGACTCATTTGGTTGTTGTACTCTACACACAAAGCGATGTTGTAATGTTAATACACTTGGTAATGGTTCTAAATGTTCTTTCAAAATAGAAATTACATTTTCATAGTTCATCTTGTAAGGGTCATCAGGGGCAACTATGTCTAGAAGTCGTTCATGTAGTTTAGGTGAAAGTGCATGTAGTAAACTACAAAGCTTTGTTTTCTCTTCATTTACATCTTTAAGTACAAGGAAATTTTCAAATTGTTTAATGAAATTCTTAAAAGATTCTTCTTCATCATATGGAACAAAACTAATGTTTGATGTTGTGCTTGGTTCCTTGTTATGTAAATTTGCTGCTGTAGGCTCTTTATTATTGTGTCGTGTCTTTTCATGTCTCAAAACTGCTTCTAAAACGATGTACATTTCTTTTGTCTCACTCCTATACAAGGCTAGATCAACTTGTTCTTCATCTTCAGTGGCTAGTTCAATTTTGGTTTGTGCGTCTTCAAATTGTTTCCAATACGATCTTAAACT